ACTGGTCCCTGTTACGATAAGTAACGGGTTAAAAGGATTCATCATACATCTTCATTCCATTGTTGTGAATATGTTTAGTTTGAGCTTGATATTCGAATGCACGACTTACAGCGTTCACTCGAAAAGGTCTGCTTGCGATGTAATTTGACTCCAAGCATTCCGAGTGAACAAGAAACAATCCTCTTGCAAAAGATCCAACCTAATGAAAATTTTTAGCCATTAAGCACGGCGGATTCACTAGATTAAACGTTAACCTTCATAGAGGAAATGGACACATACGAGAAGTCCTTCACCGGGCCTCATGAGACTGCAGAGATCGACACAAACGCGATCCCCCATTCCAGCCACTTGAATGTTTGTCACAGTGGCTTTTGTCAAGTTCAATACATTGTTTTCTTCTGTTCTCCGGTCAAAATATTCCTGAAAGTTTCCAACTGAATTAAAAGGTCATGACTCATTACACGAAACATTTAAATACGTGACGAATTACCTTTAGCTCAAGAACAGGCTCAACATCTTCTACTTTCAAAACTATGCCATCTAAACCGTGTTCGAGAGCCTATAAAACTCAAAGGGTTCAACTATAAGAAGATTTACTTGACCTTTAAGCAAGAAAAGTTAACTTCATTGATCTCATATTATATATACCTCAAGAAATATCTGAGCTTCGGACGTATTGTCGGAGACGGCAAACACAGTCTTTTGGCTGTTTTGAAATGCAGCAATTATATTTTCTGCAGGTATTACCTGAGTGAGAAATTGTATACAAAGAAAGTTAACATTTTATAACATTATTACGCATCTTCAACCGTCAACATTAGAGTTTCGAACGACTTTCAAGCATCGATCCACCGTAAACTATACGGGACACCTAAAAGATTGTCACAGCAGTTTGAAACATACCTGCCAATCTAGTAAGTTAACTACAATGTTCTCAGCCTGCTCATCCTCGGGTCGAATTCCCTCTAATTCCTCCGGTGTCGAGACGTCGAAAACGGTAGCTACCCTTTTATTCTGTGCATCCAAAATCTCTCCCTCACCAAGAAAAAGAGGACAGATTACAGCAATGGCTGTACTCCATCATGCCCAAAATTCCAAATTTCAATAAAAATTAGAAATGTGTAATAAATCAGAAACATCAAAAGATTGAAATCATTCAAAATTTTCTTCATAAATCTATCATCTAGAAGGTTTTGCAAACACAGTGGATCGAATTTAAACACAAAAGGGTTATGCTAATAGAGTTAGAGAATAGAGATAAATACATGACCAATCATTGGCGAGTTGAGGAAGGTTTGATGGGAAAATGAAAGTGTTCCATCCTCTCTCAACAGCTGCAGTCATAACCTGCTTGTTCTTTGTCCATATCCACACTTTCTTTGATTTTCTACCATCCTTGTTCTCAGATGGTGTCCACGAAGAAGAAGACATTGAAGAAGAGCAAGGGTTGTAGCGGAAATGGGTGATGGAAGGAGAAGATAGAGATGAAGGTGGAGTGAAGTGTGCGAATCCAATTTGCGATACCAAAGACATCATAAGTGTTACTGTTGTCAGAACTAACTAGTGTTTGTTCGCGATGTGTTCAACCTCACTAGTACACTGTACACCCTCTTCATTTTTTCTATTTTTATGCTTAGCTTTAAAAAAAATTGTATTTTTAAAATAAAAATTATAAAATTTATTTTTCATCGCCTCGATTCGCCAGTTTGATGTTTCTAGTCCCAGATATCATACTACACCCTTTATGATTTCTCAATTGCTTTTATTTTGCAAAGGCTTTATCTATGAGAAATAGAAACACAAAAATAAATTTTTACTACATATTCATACAAGTTTTTCCGTAACCTATATGAGGTATGTCATGAGACAATCCTCATGGTTTTAAAGTCTTGATGACCTACTCAGACATTGCGATTATTAAAATAACAAAAATAAAATCATACAGAGTATACATGAGTATTATAATAACAATTAATGAAAATAACTTGATTAAAATTTACTCTAATTGAGACTTGAAGTGCAACCAAAATATAGAGAAAGTAAAATAATAGTTGACAACATTCTAGGGTAAAAGTGTATTTTTTTTCTCTCAGTCCTTGCTTTTTATAAGCCCTAAGATTTCATTACAAACTTAATTTCGAGTAAATAACAATTAAGATACAAATCCTCGATGATCATAGCAGCTAGGAAGTGAAAAAGGTAGAAGAATATTTTGGAATAAAAAAGTTGGCATTTTCTATTAAGGTTGCTACATGTAGACTATAAGGGCGCATCCTCTCGATTTTATCATGGGGAAGTGTTGAAGGCTACTATGGGTTATAACATAGCCTACTGGTCAACCGTAGTGGTTGTTAGAAATTGTATGACGGGATTTTTCTTTTTGTCCTATTTCATGTCTTTGTCGTTCTGTTTTTTTTTGAAAATCGGAAAACAACCGCTGATCTTCCAAATCTAATTTTGGTGGCTCACAGGATAGATCATATTGATCCTAGGACATGTGCTAAAAGGTTTCTTTTTGTTTTAAAGGTCCATTCAAGTTCCACACTCGAACAATATTGGGGTGAAAGAATTCTAAAGGAACATCTATTCGACTACGGGTTAATTTAAAGACAAAACGAAGCTTTCAATAAAAGAGAAAGAAGTTTGTTGGGAGAAGAGAAGTTAGATTGAGGACGAAGAGAAAAGACTTGCATAGGAAGGGGAGAGATAAAGTAAGGGAAAAGGGATAAAGACAATAAAAACTTTGTAAAATTTAAAGTAAAAATAAGTAAATTGCATTAAGTTAAAAGATGGTGTGTTTACATCACGTACATTCTCTACAATACCCGCTTTCTCTACACTCGGATACTTGGAGTAATTTCCAGAGTAATTTGTACAATAGTAAATTACAACACACTTTGGATATGTCTAAGACACCCTATTTATAGTAATAAAAAATAACCTCTAATAACCTCCATTATCACCTCCTTGCGTCATTTGTCACAAATGCATGGATCCACTGCTCATAAAGTGACACGTGTCTCCCTCAATATTCAACAAACAAAACCGTTCCCTTCAATATTTGAATTTCGAATCTTTCGACGAACCATCCCTTACAGCAAGCGGTCGAACCCTTGGCTTCTGGGTGAGTCCTTCGACTTGGCTACTTTGCTTCTTTCGACCATTCTTCTCGTTCTCAACCTATCTTTGATCCTTTTATCTTGAATTCCCTACTTCTACATGAGGCGTCGAATTTAGGAGCCAACAAATTGCCCCCCAAAAATGTCTTTTCGACTTCGACTGTAGAAAAGTACATTTTTTGACAGTGTCTGACCTTCGACGCCGCTTTGTCCTCATGCGTGTCGTCTGATACTCTTTCCGCCACTGCAAGTTTGGAAAGGTGAAAGGGAATGAAAGAGAAGGAAGAAAGATAATTTGGAACACGCAAGCTACTGTTCCGCCACCTTGATGCACGTTTATGACGTCACTTCCATCATGGCTATTTTCTCGGGAATCAACAAAATCGTGGGCCATCATCACCCTTCCAACCTCGGGGACGTGAATTGCAACTACTGCCTCTGCCATCCCACATCCAAGCACACACGTGGCCCACTAACTCTAGCCCCTTAATGATGAAAACTTTCAGTCTTCCATATACTGTATAAGTAATTTCCCTTTGATGTTTTATTTTTTCCAACGTCTCTAACTCTTCACACCATTCTCGCTTTTTCTCTAATTTTCTTGCTTCCTCACCAACAAAACTCCTACTTCCTTCAAAAATGGTTGATCATCAAAAGAAGAAAATGCAACTCAAGGGATAAACTTCTGCATCAACGTTTCCTCCCTTTGCCAGCTTGAGTGGTCCCCAGGCGGTAAAGAACCAGCAGTTCATCCGAGAACCCTTGACGGAGGAGAAATGCCACATTTACGAATCTCAGGTAATCATTCATGTTACTGTTGCAGGAAAACCTTTAGCCATGTCGGGGCCTTTACCCCCTCCAGGTCTGGACTACTCCTCTATTAAAGATTTCTTCCCCTCTTATAGAACCACTAAACCCCTAGGGCAAAAAGACTCTAATAAAATTTCCACTGACGGTTCTGATAGCCTGAGCCTCTTCGATGTAGACCTTAGGTATCTTCATGATGGGGCCAGATTATTTAGGGCTACTCCCTACTTCAAAGATTCTGAACTTTATCTTAACTAGCTGACGAAAATAGAGAAAGTAAAAGCCCAGGAATAGAAGGACACTGGGATTTACGATATGATCATGATGTCGAAGGTAGGCCCTTCGTACTGCGCCCATATGTTGGCTTCTTCCTTATTCTTCTGGGATAGAACCCACAACACTTTCCACCTCCCTTGTGGGATGATGACACCCACTCTACTTGATGTAGCTGCCATTGTAGGCCTAAAACCCTACGACCTTGTTTATGATCCTGAGATCGATAGCCATGACAACATTGGTTTCGCCAATACAAAACACATTTATACAGCTTTTGTCCAACATTACCATAATAAAACTAGCACCTCAGTTGACGACGAAGAACATATAGCCTTTTTGGCCATGTGGTTATCTCGTTGTGCATTTTGTACCAAATCCTTGCAGGTGACGCGAAAGTATCTGGTCCTGGCCAACCAACTACATCTGAAGAGAGGCGTTTGCCTCAGTGAAATGATTCTGGCCAGTCTTTATGAGGCCTTAGGCGAAGGTGCGGGTAAATTGAAAGATCCTGACAGCCATGGCAACTTGCTGTTGTCAGGTCCCTTTTGGCTTCTTCAGTTGTGGCTTAATGCCACTTTCGAGCACAGTCTTCCCAACAGAGGTGAAGTTGATGAACGTTCGCCTTTGGTTGCTGAGAGAAGGGTCGAATGGCCTTTCCTGGCTCAACTTACTCCTAGCGAGGAAGGCCATTCTCTTCGATCCAATTTATCCAACTTTGTTCATATGTTTGCAAAATGGTAGGAGTTTACCGCGAAGATGGCTCCCTTTACAGAACGAAAATGTGGCCTAGAATGGTTTACTAGACCCTTCCCTATTCCCTTAAAGAAACAAGAAGAGGAGTCAAAGCTGATTTGGGAGAGATTCCTCATTCCCCGCCTACTGATTCACAAACTAAACCTCGTTAGAGGTCACTCCAGCTTGCTAGCCTACCAACCGAACTTGGTGTCCAGGCAATTCGGGTTAATACAAACCTTGCCCAAATGCCTGTATGACAAGAAATCACATATCATTCTCCCTTTTATTGTGTTATATCCCCTGGATTGTTCGACACAACTGGCGCGCCACACCCACAAGTCCTACCTCACACCTATTCACTTCGAACCTTCTTACTTTTGTTCCCAAAACTTCTATGACTGGTGGTCGAAATATTACGCCTCAGAATTTCTTGACGCCTCCGGTTTTGCTTACTTGATTGACCAAGCTTTCATTGATGTGCAGGAGAAGATCAAGAAAGGTACGTCTACCCATATCAAAAAAATTCAAGCCTTCAAGAAGTATTTTGAAATCGCCTATCGACCAGATGATGTTAGTCGAACCATCTGTGAGGCTGCTGTCACTTTGAAAGAAAAATTTTCCAAAAAACTGGATAGTTTAAAGATTCCCTTTTCTGTTCCTTGCGAGAAACGGTATGAGGTTGCCTTTAAAAATTTTCCCCCAAAAGTTCCTAGACTACTAACCACTGGTTTTGGCGTGGCTCTTGCCCCTCCATTCCCAGATTGGTTCATTTGTGGAGACGCTATAAAAATTCTTCGACAGCAGTCTAATCCCAAAGCACAGCAGGTGGTTCCGACTAAACATACACTCGATACGTTTAAAGGACACCTTCATGCCAGTATCGAAGATGTTCGCATCGAATCCGACATTCTTGAAGGTTCATCCCCCTTTGATTTGGACTTTCCTCTCTGAGATTTATTGTTGCTAACTGGTTTTACTATCATTTACTTTTCAGTTGCTCCGAAACGTGCTGCCCCAACAGCAAAAACTGAAGTCAAGGACGAAGATCAGAAGGTAACCTTCCGCAACTTTCTACTATCTCGACCTCCTTATCTCACTCTCAACACTTTATGTTGTTTTCAGGTTAGTCGAAAACCACCTACCCCTCAAAGAAGATTAAAAAGGGTTTCTCCCTAGATCATCATAGATTCTGACGATGAAGATAGGTCTCCTCGTGAGAGTCTTCAAATAAAAAGGAAAAGAAAGATTATCCATGACGTGGACACTCCTGATGCTCCATCCGCTCCTCATGTACCCAACACGCCTTAAACCACCATTCCTCCTCAAGACCCTACTCCAACTCCTATAGGGGATGCTTCGATCCAAGCTGTTGTCCCCATGGAAAGTGACAATTCCAGCCCTGCTGACGAGACTGCTAAGGTATATTGCACATCTACCTTTCTTTGGGCCTTTGCACTGATTCTTTGGTCTTAATTCTTTCTAATGTTTATCTTTTCTAGGATGATGCTAGAGCTTCACAAACTAATCCCACCAAGGTTCCTCTATCGCTCTATCCCTTGAATAGCCAAGGTGAGCCTACCTATCATCCTACTTCTGATT